CCCCGGAACCCCCTGATTGATGGTTTGCATGGTGGATTCACCCCCGCGCCCCCCCACCGTGCCCTGCGCCTTGGAGCCGTTGTGTTCCCATCGAACCCGTTATTTTCTGTCTCGCCTGTCATCCTTGTTCTGTACTGACTGGCACCCTCACCCATCACTCACTCACTCTTGCTTGTCACAACATACATGCGAAACGGCATCACCAGTTACTATTTCCGTCTGCCTCCTGACAGAAAAATTACGACTGACTTGGTTTACAGCAAATTACTCTCTTCTCGTGATATTTTTGTCGCACCTAAACAACGGCGGGCGTTTTAGAGCAAACGAGGGGGGACAGCACACAGAAGCTCTCGTCCAAGAACTTCACCGCTCCTACCGGGGGAGATGGAACTTGTGCAACCATGAACTTATCTAGACCGTTTACAGCGAATCCAGTACGGCATCGCAGTAGGTTTTCAATAATATTGTTGGCCTCGCGTCAGTGGCCTTCACAGGGATTTTCGATTAACAAACATGTTGAATAAGGCATACAATCGGGGAAGTTGGGTTCGGCAATAGGGTTGCTAGGGGATAGGGTCTGCGTAGTACCCACTACCTGTTCTACTTCCTTAGAATTTAGACTCTTTCGGACTCGAAAAAATTCGTTCTCAATTTTTCGCTAAGAAGGCGGTCCCGGCGTACGTACACGTTGCTGCTGCTCCATGCGCATCCCGAATTTTGGTTTCCTGCAGAATACCCCAAGAGCAGGGCACAATAAGGCAATGCTTCCACCTTACGAGCTTTCTCTCCCTCGTAAATAGAATGTTTCTCTGGTAATCACGGTGATAAATTACTTCGAAGTACGAACGATGTGGATACTCTGGATGGACTCTGGAGTAGTCTAATCTTTTTCAGCATGGATTGCATGGATGGACGGGCGATTTCGCGTCCTCTCTGTATTGTAACACCCCACCGCAACAATGCAAAGGGAGAAAACGAATGATACATAAATTGGATGTGGCATGGGATTCGGTTCCGATTTAATGTGCAAGTGGCCCAGTCCAGCCGCAGGCGGCAATGAATGAATGAATGTCTAGCTAGGCATTTAGGCCACAGGCAGTCAAGAGGGCACGTGAATTCAAAAACCTGATGCACCCCCCCCACACGCCCCCACCCCCACCCCCATGTTTCTTCAGGCGCATAGTCTAGTCTAATTAATCCAGTTTGGTCAAGGCGTTTATTGTATGGGACTTAGAATAGTGATAATATAGGCTCGACTAATAGTATATATTCCATAATGTATAGGCTTTAGTGTAACATTATTGAGAGGTGAATTTGACCACACCAAATCCTAGTCTAGCCCTTTCGTTGTAGCCCCTTTTATTTAGCAGCAGCAATGAATGAATGAATGAATGTGTGGTCCTCTTGCAACTAACAGCACAACAAGGAAGAAGGAAGGAAGTGTACAGCAAGCAACCACCCTGTCTGCTGTTGTTCCCTACAGACAGAGAAGGCAGAGAGAGTTCACAGCGGCAGCAGCATCATATATATATATATATAGGCTTTACTACACCACACTTAATCTACATGCAATGTACCCAACACATCGTGGTCTAAAACCTTTGAAGAAGTAGAGAGGTGAACGAAATGTTTCGAATAGATAGATAGCCATGTTGGTACTAAACGCTAGACTATACCATAGAAAATTTATAGTTAATACTATGCACCAGAGTAACAATAAGGCCGACACGCAGCCCCCCCCCCACCAGCCCCCCCCTAATGTGGTGCTTAATCCAGTTTTGGGGTGTGCATCACGTATGTATTTGAATCCACGTGCCCTCTTGAGGCAGTTGCAGCCGGGGCAAGGGGAGGGATTAAATGCTTGGCTGTGGCAGTTGGGGTATACCCATGATTTTGCGATGCCCCTAAGGATCTGCCGGCCTCTCGGCTCAGCTTTCCCGCCATATTTGCGCCATCTGCTCTCGCTTCCTCGATCTCGTGCCTGCTTGCCGTTCCATAGCTGAGGCTACGTGTGATTCTGTTTCTGCATCGTTTTGCCAGAGCACTAAGCTACCTTTGACGCTGGGTCTTTGCTGAAGCCAACTTGCGAATCTCCACCGACAGAGGCTCAACGGCTAATCTCCAGCACAGCAAAGAGACCCGAAGGTCTTAGGCTAATCAAGATGGACGCACGATCCGGCTCCCAGCTTGCCCTCGCCGAGTCACAGAACATCCAGCAGGTTGATCAGGTGAGAGCTGGTGTTGCTTGATAACAGCAGAGTGTGGTGCATACGCACCCACTGTATACTGGACGACTTGTGGCGGTCTGTGTTTGAAGCTGGGAGTGTTGCAATTGTTTTTGCGCCAAAACATACAACACAAATAGCCATTTTTGTCGGGCATGGTTGATTGATCTCATCTGACGAGAGACAACTCCACGGCGTGGGGGTCAACATGAACAACTGCTGCTGCAGGCATCTAGACGGCCGAGCTGTACAATCTTCTACCAAGACAAGGCTTCGTTTATGTAGGTTGATCAGCATTGCGGGCGGGTTCCATATGTGCCTATTTCTGTGTACTTGACAAGCAGGATGTCAGATAACCCGCCTTGTGTGAGAGCACAGCAGTCGTGAGGGTGTGATAGCTTATTCTCGCTCACGTCTCAATCCCTTCCGGGGAGAGCATGTCACCGACTACAGCAGTACAACTGGGCTGCGAAAAAGTCGATGCGTACTGGGAGCACAAGGCCGCGGGACCTAGTCCCTCCTGGAAGCACGTGTAGTACGTACATCATGTACGTATTCTGCCGTAGACGAATGATACCGGTCAAGATTTGGCAGTACAGCAGTACGGTGTGCTGGACGCATGTAGACTATGTCTTTCTTTCTTTTCTTTTTTCTCCCATCATTGGATTATGTCGTCTGCCCCTCTGGCCCCTATCCTCCACTTCTACTAGCTAGACGACCCAACTGGGGTCACATAGGAGGGGGGGGCTGGACCTCCTGCGGTATGTATGTGTACATGGTCTCGCGCCCTTTCATGACATTTGCTGCGCTATCAGTAGCCGGCCGGGGGGGGCACTCCGGCGCCGGGGGGGGGCTGGAATGTCTACCGCTGTAAAATGGCCACGTACCTATGATAACAAGAGGGAACGTCTGCCCATGACATGGCTAAATAGATATCAACGCGCTGAGGCTGTGAGCGTTCTACTTGTTATTTCAAGAACGCAACGAATCGCCGCTCTGCCACCGATAGATATACATGAGGTCCGGGATTTTCTTTCTTAGCGTTGTGTGATAACTCAATCTGTTGTTTGTACATGTTTCGAACCTTGTTGCGAGAGTTTGTGAGGGAGCTTCGAGCTGACTTGAGTACGCCCTTCACCTCTCTGCTGCTTTGTAGTCTACAGCAGCGTTGTTGTACGTGGTGGTTGTTTACAGCGGGCATGGATGCAGGGTAGTCCACTATCTTGAACATGTGCACGTCTCAGTCAAGTATACACCCAAGGGGCTACCAATGGGCCGATAGTTCCCTCCACCGCCCTGCGTACAGCACTAGTATTATGTGGTCCCTGCATACGTACGTAGTACCGGCCGTAAATAACGAAGGTACTCGAGTATGCGTGTGCCGGGTGCCCGGACTATCGCCGGCCAAACCCATTGCCACTACAATACAATGTACATGCGGCCTAACACAGGGACCACCAGAAAAAACGCGTATCAAATGTATCACATGTATCATATGTATCATGTATTCCCGAAACGCGGGGGCGGAAGTTGTGTAGATTCTCATTAAGGGCCCTCGCTAACTGGACCCCCGCCCCCTTCTTGATCTCTCGTCCGCTTTTTGCTCTCCTTCCGGCTCGTTGACCTGCCGCTTTGCGCGTGACTGCAGGTTGGAGCTGGGCTGTTTCCAACCAAGAACCCAGTAAGCGCAAGCCTGGCCTCTTCTTCTGCTACCCCCGCGTCTTCTTCTGCTAGCCCCGCCGCTTCTTCCGCTACCGGCGACAAAAAATCTCTCGGGGTCGCCGCCGCCGTCGATTCGCCAGCGCAAGGTGAGTCAGGAACCCTTTGAAACCCCATGGGATCAAACATCTAGCACCGGGGGGGGGGGG